TTTATTTATATTTATATTTATTTATTTATATTGTGCGGTCATACATGGAGCGGCAGGTTGCCGGCCACGAAGCTGGCGCCCTGCACGGCGATGACGCGGCCGCCTTGCATGATGTTGACGCCGCTCAGGTACCGCACCGGCGACACCCGCACCGACACGTGCCCGCCGCCTTTGGGGAAGTACCTGACGGCAATCGGGAGTCAATTGAAGGGCGCTGATAGAAGGGTGTTACTTCGATAGTGAGTGTAGTGGAAGTTTATAAATGAAAAACCGACTCAAAAAAACCTACACTAAAACGTAGAAAAATAATTACTAATTACCTACTTATTTATTAGGACGAATTATTAATATTTATGTAGGTATACCATGATAATAAGTAGGTAATTAGTAATTATTTTTCTACGTTTTAGTGTAGGTTTTTTGGAGTAGGTTTTATTTTTTTTTATAAAATTTTACTTATTTCTTGCTTTTTAGTTAACTAATTATCACCTTGATGTTAGCACTGAAGGTATGCAGTACACTGAGACCAAAAAAAATTGGTTCATAATCGGCGGAGATATTGCGTATAAAAAAGTTCATCCCCAATTTTCCACCCTTGGGGGTGAAATATTTTCTTCAAATTCGCATGAAACCACCCTTTTGATAATACCTATTCNCACATTTACAATATGGAACGCATTGAGAAATGTCTCATTTCGCATAGCGTTGCTGCTTTGCATAGGTAAGTATCGTTTGTGAATACGGGTGTTAGTGTCAGCTCTAGAGTGAGTACTATCATCATCGGTTGGTAACCAACATCCTGATGCGTGCGTTTCATATGATTCTGTGGCTCGACTTTCGCCTGGCGCGGCAACCAAATAAAAAGCCTAACAAAAGCCGGACAGGCCGGACAATGCAATATTTGGCCGGACAAGTCCCTAAAAAGCCAAACATGTCCTGCTAAAGCCGGACACCTGGCAACCCTATCTGCGCCTAGTGTTAGGAAACTCACTTGATACCGTTGCAGTTGTCGGGCGCCACGCTCCTGTCCTCTTTGTAGCACTTGATGTCTATCTTGGTGCACACAGGTCTGAGCTCTTCTTTCGCGCCATCTGCCATACCATGCGCTAACTGTAAATGAAGTTATTTAAATTTTCTAAATGCTTTTGATCCGGACATAGTTAGTTAAGAGTATTGTGTTCATTTCTTTAATTAAAAAAAAGTATTTTATTAACAGTTCTTAGAGTCGTAATTGAAAGAAATATACCTATATTACAATGGACATCACACAAATACATTCAATTAGATACATAGACATAACAGTGGCAAATAATAATGGAAGAAGAAAAATAAAATAAAAACAAGAGTAAACTGAGCAGTGCCACCCATTCACATACAAGATGCCCACTGCAACGGGACCCCACTCAGAATATGCCGTGGCCCACGGTGACGAAGGCCACGGCGCTGGTTTTCAGTGTGCCCCATGCCGAGTGAGGGTCACGGACCATTGGTAAAATTGCTTACAATTGATCAACTGAGATTTCAGGCAACGAGCGGGCAGCGGCGCGGGAGCGGGCAACGAGCGGGCAGCGGCGCGGGAGCGGGCAACGAGCGGGCAGCGCACTCCTTCTTTTGCCCACAATAAATCGAGAGTTAGGAATAAATTTGAATCGAAATAAAATTGTCGCCGTTGTTCAGACATTTCGTTTGCGAATAAAAACAAATATCTCGACAACACAACCCCGAATACAACACTTCGCCGCTAAAGCGCCGCGCGAGCTGCCCGCTTGTTTCGAGAACGGGTCTGCATTGCCTGCCCCGCTCCCGCGCCGCCGCCGCTCCCGCGCCTCTGCCCGCTAAATTCGAGGCTGAGGCCTTACACGTTCCGCCGCGGTAACGGCATATACGCCACTCGAGAACTATTCTGCCCCAACGGCCGTCGTCTCTACGAGCTATGTGCCCCGCCCACTGCCACTTGATTTTAGCAATTACTTTTAGTTTTAGATTTTAGAAAGGTGGAATACATATTATGGCAGTACGGGTCTCGCCGTTTTCACGAAAATCAATCTTAAAATCACTACGACAACAACCGTCGATTTTACATTAGTTTCCATAGAGAGCAGACTTGTTGTTGCAAAATAACATTTGTATGAAGATTGTTAGTGTCATAGTGGACTGGAGTACCGCGTCGGAACGTGTTAGTAACATTGTTAGATTTTGCTTAATGTGTATAGATTTTAATTTTTAGTATAAACATAATTTGTATGTAAGTGGTTTGTTTATGTATAATATTATTATGTATTTTGCTAATGATAGTTAAATAAAGTATCGTTAAGCCTTTATTTCGCCTGAGATACAGGAAAACATTTCCTAGTTCAGGCACATGTATAATTTTACCTTTTGTAGCATAAGATTAGCCTAAAGTTTAAACTGTCAAATAAGTTATTCAATAAAGAATCTATATATATATATAAAAATGAAACCCGTTTCGCGTTGTCACGGCATCACGTGTGAACGGCTGAACCGATTTCGATAATTCTTTTTTTTAAATGTTTGTGGAAGTCCAAGGATGGTTCTTACGGAAAAAAATATTAAGAAAATCTCTACGCTAAGGCGGTACGAAGTTCGCCGGGTCAGCTAGTTTATTTATATTTATATTTATTTATTTATATTGTGCGGTCATACATGGAGCGGCAGGTTGCCGGCCACGAAGCTGGCGCCCTGCACGGCGATGACGCGGCCGCCTTGCATGATGTTGACGCCGCTCAGGTACCGCACCGGCGACACCCGCACCGACACGTGCCCGCCGCCTTTGGGGAAGTACCTGACGGCAATCGGGAGTCAATTGAAGGGCGCTGATAGAAGGGTGTTACTTCGATAGTGAGTGTAGTGGAAGTTTATAAATGAAAAACCGACTCAAAAAAACCTACACTAAAACGTAGAAAAATAATTACTAATTACCTACTTATTTATTAGGACGAATTATTAATATTTATGTAGGTATACCATGATAATAAGTAGGTAATTAGTAATTATTTTTCTACGTTTTAGTGTAGGTTTTTTGGAGTAGGTTTTATTTTTTTTTATAAAATTTTACTTATTTCTTGCTTTTTAGTTAACTAATTATCACCTTGATGTTAGCACTGAAGGTATGCAGTACACTGAGACCAAAAAAAATTGGTTCATAATCGGCGGAGATATTGCGTATAAAAAAGTTCATCCCCAATTTTCCACCCTTGGGGGTTGTTTTTTTTATTATTAAATTTAAATGGGACCACCCTTGAGGTATCACCTATACGCCGAAAAAAGATTTGTTCAAATCGGTTCATAATTGGCGGAGTTATCGCGTAACAAACATAGAAAAAAAAAAACATACGGGTCGAATTGAGAACCTCTTCCTTTTTTGAAGTCGGTTGAAAAGAGTGGACTGTATGAAATTAATTATCTATTCGGTATAAATTTACAATGTTATCGAGACCGTTTTGTGCAAGGTCGTTGAAGAGAGTGCGTGCGGATCGTCTTCTTAGATGTTCGCTCGCGAACCGAACATTGCTCGTTCGTTCGCCGAACGCTCGCCGCTCCCTCCGGTCACGCCGCCCGCGGGCAATGTCCGTGAGTAGACAAAGGGTACCAGAAGGCAACGATCATTGGCGTATCTAGAGTTATTTTTCAGGGGGGGGGGGACCCGTAGCCTTATTCACGTAACAAAACTTCAACGACAACAAATCGCTGAGTTGCGACCCTATCGAGTAATCGATCTGTCGAAATGACCCTTGTGAGTACGGATTTAGAACTGTTTTTCAATGCGACGACGCAACAAAACTTCAACGACAACAAATCGCTGAATTGCGATCCTATAGAGTAATCATTCTATCGAAATGATTCTTGTGAATACGAATTTAGAACTATTTTTCAATGGGAGGACTTCTGAACGTCAGCGAGATCTTGACTGTCAAAATACGTGAATTAGGCCACTGGCCATGCCATGTCAAGAGGTGGGGAGCACGCGGGGGGGTGTGATCAATCAGTATCTCAGTGCTTGTTCACGTAGGCACGCGCGGGCGCGGGAAACGTCGCGAGCTCGTGTTCACATTGACGACCAGGCGTTCGCGCGAGTGTGACGTACTATCGATTCTAGCGACAAGTTCAAACTGGTTGAACTTACCTGACGTCGCGAGTGAAACGCGCGCGCCGCCGCTAGTTTGACATGAACACACACAAACATCTTCACGCGTTGAAATTACCGCGAGCGCTCCGCGCGCGCCAGTCGCTAGCTTGCCCGCTAGTTAGACCGCACCTGCGTTTCGTACGTGAACACTTGGAATCACTACATATGTTTGATATTTCGTCACCGCGCCCGCTCACCCTCTCGTCAGCTCCGAACTGGTTCAGCTGCGCGCGGAACACCCGCGCCATATAGTGGACTTGCTGAGCCATCTAGTCCAGCTGCGGAGCCATGTAGTCCACCTGCGGAACCATTTACTCCACCTGCGGTAAAGGTAGTATCACTCACCCTCTCTTATGTATGGTCATTTCGAAATCCGCGCCGAATCGATTCAGCAGCTTGCGGAACGTCTGCGCCATAAAGTCGACCTGTGGCGCCATGGCGGCGTTGGTGCCGCGACTGTAGTATCACACACCGACTCCTATCGGGCATAGTATCACTCACCCCCTCTTATGTATGGTCATCTCAAAATCCGCGCCGAATCGATTCAGCAGCTTGCGGAACGTCTGCGCCATAAAGTCGACCTGCGGCGCCATGGCGGCGTTGGTGCCAGTGTAGTATCACTCACCCGCGCCTATGTATACTTACATCGAAATCCGCACCGAAGCGATTCAGTTGCGCGCGGAACACCCGCGCCGTGCCGCCGTGTATTCGACTTGCGGAGCTATATAGTCCACCTGCGGCGCAATTATAGTATCACTCACCCCCTCTTATGTATGGTCATTTCGAAATCCGCGCCGAATCGATTCAGCAGCTTGCGGAACGTCTGCGCCATAAAGTCGACCTGCGGAGCCATGGCGGCGTTGGTGCCAGTCTTGGACGAATAAACCACTGGACGCGTAACGAGTGACGTTTTCGTCTTTACCCCGCTAGCACTTACCATGGCTAAATTAGCCATGGTAAATGTTGTCAGGTTGTCACTTTGTCAGTATGACGCCAGCTCTCGAAGAGTAAAAATATCACGAAAAATGGGTAAATGCGCCGTACTTTATTGCAAAAATTATTCCTGTCACACAAGAAATGTTTCTTATCACGCGTAAGTACATTTTAAATCTATTATAGTAGCTATTTTTTCGTAAAATAAATAAAATTTGATATGTAAACAAAATAAGATTACGTCATTTTAAAAAGTACTCATTGTACATGTAAATGCTTAAAACATGTAGCATATTTAATTTGGTTGGATTATAGGTTTCATTCATTCATTCACATCTCATTTTTCACATCTTCGACCAAAGATAATATCCAGCTTACAGCGGAAACGCGAAATTGCTCTGGAATCAATGAAGTTAGGATATACCGACGTCTTCAAAACTGAAATAAGTACTAGGAGGTCTTCTCGAATGACCTAAACATAAGAATATCAACAACATTAGATAAGAATTAAATATTCTCAGATAGTGCATCCGTACTGCAAGCGCTACAAAGCAATACATTGTCATAATGTTATCAAATTGTGTTTCATGAAATGTATAGAAATAGGCTATTGATGAAACTTTTGTCCGTGACGTGAGACAGATTATAACATTTGTTGAGACCAAAAGCTAGTTAGCAGTCGATCGTAACAGAATATTACTTGTTTATTGCTTTACGAATTTGATAATGATAACACAGCCAAAAAATATTTCACCTAGTTACCTACCTATATGAATAATTTGTAATATTATTTGTACCTATGATTTACCAATGGCATTATAATAAACACGATACAATAATTAATTATAGTCTTTCAATTAAAGAAATTTTCAATATTAAATCAATCCATAATTCATTTATCTCGTTAGGTTCATTCATTCATTCATTTACATAACTATCGATAAAAATTTACGATCTTTTCCCAGCACTAAATGTCATTATTTGACAATTGTCAAACCTCTCCCCCCGCAAAAAGTGGTTGATCGTGTTTCCTTAGAAATCTTGTAGGTTTCGTGTCCAGTGGTTTATTCGTCCAAGGTGCCAGTGTATCACTCACCCGCGCCTATCCGAAGCGATTCAGTTGCGCGCGGAACACCCGCGCTATGTAGTCGACTTGCGGAGCTATATAGTCCACCTGCGGTAAAGGTAGTATCACTCACCCTCTCTTATGTATGGTCATTTCGAAATCCGCGCCGAATCGATTCAGCAGCTTGCGGAACGTCTGCGCCATAAAGTCGACCTGCGGAGCCATGGCAGCGTTGGTGCCACCGCGTAGCTGCAGCTCGACCGGTGCGGCGCCGAACAGCGCGCACGGCAGCGCCGCCTGCAGCAGCAGGCTGACCGAACTGGAAACAATTTTAATGCATGGAACTGGAAAATAGCGCCAGCAAGTAAAATGACATTCTTAGTGTCGGCGCAAATGGACCACCGACTACAGCCATCGGTGGCCAGCGACGACGCCATTTGTATTTACAACGTGACAAGCAAATAAATAATTACAAAAAGTGATTATTATTTTATCAGTTATAACTTGACTGGAGTATGAATTAAATAATCTACTAGCATAAGATAGAAATTTTTCATTTTAAATATCATCTAATATTTAATAAAAACGCAAAGGCAACAAAAATGAAACGTTGAAATCGTTTTTATAGCGAAAAATGGCAATAACAAAGCAAGTAAATATTTAAAATACCCGGCAGTGTGTGTGTCAGCCTCATACTGCCCGCCCCTGAGCGGGCCCGGGGTGAACTCAATCTCGGTGGAGCCTATACTGGCGCCCCTCACCCTTGCCTGGCACATCTCGCCGACAAGTTCAATGCCTGAAATGATTAAAAAGAAAAGAATTTTAAATATATTAGTTTGTATTGTTTAGCTGAACTATTGTTCTTTTTCAATTTGCATTAAATTATCCTATCATTCCTATGTTTTAGGGATAATTTTATAATTGCATCTGTATGTCAATAGTTTACCAAAATTCTAAAAACTTTGACATGTCTTATGAATTTTTCAAATATTATAATTGTAACAAAGTTGTTTCAAGTACGCTTTAGTTAGACGACCGCCTAAAAATATAGTTTTAAATCACATTGCGCAATATCAGGAACAATATTACAGTAGTAATGTACTACCTTTTAGATGTTGCGAAGCTAACCCGGGCTTGCTTCGGCCCGCCCTGATTTTGCTCACTCGAACTGGCACACCTAAGATTGCACTCAGCGCAATAGAAATACGCAGTATTTGACCACCCTGCAAAGTTTGAACACATTAAAATCTTAGCAAAACTATGTACTGAAAATAGTATTAATTGTTTAGATTTTTTATGGTATGGTTTAAATACATACCCCCTCTAAAATGCTACCGTCGATATCTATGAAATCAGTCATATTTATTGTAAAACAATAGCAATTCAGTCCTCTAAAAGTTTAAATTATTGTAATACACCCGGCACTAGCACAACTTGTGGCACAACTTTTTGCAAATCAATAAATAAATATATCAAACTGGAAGCAAACATTTTATTTTAACGACATGAAAGAATATATTGACAACTTACAAGTATTCGGCCAATGGTACAAATTCCAGGCCAGGAAGGATTTAAAAAAAAAATATCAGCAAATTGACATTGACGTAAACATTTTTTTTTTCTGTGATATGTCCGGGCAACGGCATGCAATATGACAGTAACACCTGCAAGAGGGCGTTAGTGAAGACGCATTATTTAAAAAACTTAAAATAACTTTTGATTCAGTTACCTTAAATCAGCTAATTTATGTGCAAAAACATAATGGTTAGCTTTTTCAACTAAATTAAAGGTTGCGCAACGAAAGATGAGGCAAACACGTACTCCCATTTATGTAATATTTGAGTATAGAACTCAAAAAAACTGCAGAGGTCCGTAGAAACGTAAGGAAATACAATTTGTTGAAACTGACCATCTCTCTGAAAATTCTGAAATACAAAAAAAACAGCTAAATGGCCAGATCAAGCTATAATGGCGCCATCTGTGATTCACATGCTGATTAAATAAAGTGTGCGTTCCATTTCACATTAATTTCGGTTAAAATGCAAAGTTATTGTTTAGAGTTTTGTATATGAATGAAACGGAACTTCCACGCAAAATGTCAATACAATTTTTTGGAAGTTGTGGATTATTTTGTGCTATTTTACGCTAAAATCTTAAGAAGTGGTTTCAAAATTACTCAAAGCGGCAAGTGGAGATTACAAGTAATTTCATGGCATCTTGTTTTGTGACGAAATAATCTAGCAAAAGCTTACCAGGATGCAGAGGAAACCTGGCTTTCCCGTGGCGAATTGTAGCATCAAAATGGTAAATAACCTTTTCAACTACGTATCGGCAAACTTTCTACGTGTTAATATATGGTTACGTGCTTCGAGAACAGCCTTGATATTTTTTGTGGCGCATAGAGGTTGTGCTAAATTCAATTAGGTACCTACGCATTCACCTGCATTATATTATACTTTCTTAATATTCAAATGTAGGTAGTTGTAAGACTTCCAACAAATAATTGAAATCATAGGCAATATGTACGAGCAGAATCAGTAGAAAACAGGCGCAGATATTTCTTTAATTAATTAAGTTTGACCAAGCTAAATTTTTTCTATAACGGCTAAGCTTCTTGATCTAATATAAAAATAATTGCTTGGTGGTAACTGGGGATCTTTGGTATTGCGCTTACGTGCTTATTTCCTGTATGTACCAGACAGATTTTTCTCTATTATACCCTCAAGTTAAGTATATGCCAGCATCCATTGTGTTGTTGCAGATAGAGGCAGTAATGAACAAATGTTCTAATTGTCATATTATGTATTGTGGATATCCATGGCAAAGTTACGAATCTGTAAAATATGTATTTGACAGGAGAGCGAAAGCTTAAAACGATCATTTGTTGCAGTTGATTCAACTGAATATGATTTCACTAAAACAGCAGATTCTTAAGTTTGCCGTGAGGATATATTCCCTGCACCTGCAAATGTTGAATTTATTAATTTATAATAAGACCAGAGTTCAAAGAGAAGCTCATTTAGTTCAAATATTCAAATATATGATCTGGCATTCTACCATCTTGATTTCTATGATTTGAGGAGTTTCAATTTTTAAAGTGATCTTTTTCCCACATTACGTTCTAACACAGCGGTTCCCAAACTTATTTTGTCTACTGCCCACTTTGAGAATAAATTCTTTTTAGCGCCCCCATTAAATTTTCAAGAGTCAAATGCTCAGTCGGTGTCAAGAGACCTAAGTAGATGAAATTACAAATGGCCTACCAAGCCTCTACACAATGCCCCAATTTTTTTCCGGGGTCTCTTACCGCCCCCCTTTAAGCCTGCAGCGCCCACAAGGGGGCGTTATCGCCCACTTTGGGAAAGACTGTTCTAACATGTCCATTTGCGTGTTCAGCCGGACAACATGAACATGCCAGCGGCAGAGACACTCCATAACGATGAAGACCCAGAGCAGCAGCAGAAGCGGCAGCAACTCATCAATTTCGGCCACACACAGTGGGGCTTCAATAACTGGAGTTGGACGGTTACTAAACAGGATCTCGGTAAACAATCATCCACCTCTTATTGCATGCACGCGGATAATACATATTTGTCTTGGAAATGAAAAATGAAAAAATGAAAATGAAAAAACATTTATTCAGTATCTTATAAGTTAACATAATTGTTGCAAGTGGCTGGGGTCTCCTTTTAAGTATAATACCTGTGTTAGGAGGCCCCGCTCCTTCTTAAAGTTACAAAGATACATAATTATGTTAAACAAGCCACAAAAACTCACAAGTACGTATTACTAGAACTAGATCAACGCTAGATATCTTTATAGTTTTGGTTACATTCAATAGTTTTAGTTACATTCACTAGTTTTATAAACAAACAGCTACTTATTTCATAATAAGGTATTTTTCAAAAGTAAGGTAAGGCTATGTGACACTGTGTGTGTGTGTGTGTGTGTGTGTCAGCCGGATTATACAGGGTGGTTATACATATGGAACGATAAGTGATCTCACTTGATTATTTCTAAACTATACAAGATATCGAAAAACTAGTTACTGATTCTGAAAGTGCTTCACGAGCTCTTTCAAATGGTACCAATAATAGGTTACATACAGGTTGAAAATGAAAAATGAAAATGAAAAAACATTTATTCAGTATCTTATAAGTTAACATAATTGTTGCAAGTGGCTGGGGTCTCCTTTTAAGTATAATACCTGTGTTAGGAGGCCCCGCTCCTTCTTAAAGTTACAAAGATACATAATTATGTTAAACAAGCCACAAAAACTCACAAGTACGTATTACTAGAACTAGATCAACGCTAGATATCTTTATAGTTTTGGTTACATTCAATAGTTTTAGTTACATTCACTAGTTTTATAAACAAACAGCTACTTATTTCATAATAAGGTATTTTTCAAAAGTAAGGTAAGGCTATGTGACACTGTGTGTGTGTGTGTGTGTGTGTGTTTGTGTGTGTGTGTGTGTGTGTGTGTGTGTGTGTGTGTGTGTGTGGGTATATATG